ATTTTTAAATTCTAAACACTTCACTTATTTCTGAGCAAGCCTTAGAAATTCAGCTAAAAGAACTGCATTTATGATTAACAACAACCTTAAACCCTATATCTATAATGTAATAATATATTCTGAAGGAGCTATTGCTATTGACCTCTTCTTCAAATATAATTTCAAATTTAGAATATCTATACAGCTATCAATCTATCAAATTTGTTTTCATAAATTTATTATTAACTGTTAATAATTAAATTAATTAGTAGAATAGATAACTGAATATATAATATTTAGCTTTATATATTATATTAGTTTGAATGATATATATATATAAATTTAAGAAACAAAAAGTATATAATTTGAAATAATCAATAAATTTTAGAGCCAAAATAATAGAAATAACGAATATTATATGTATATTGATCAATAAACCTTAGAGCTACAATAATAGTGATAATGAATATTACTCTGTATATTGATCAATGAATCTTAGAACCAAAATAGTGATAGTAACAAATATTACTAAAGAAATATATTATATGAAATTGTATCATTTGAAATTATATTGCGTAAAGTATTTAGAGTAAATTTAGTAACCTGTTTATAAGAATCTTTCTACTATAAATTTATATCAATAGTAATATATTAAATTTCTAATATTTATACATATCAAAAAATAAAAATTATAATGCTAAAATAGCAATTAATCTATTAAATTTAGCATAGTAAAAAGTAGGCACCTAAAGCAAATTAACTACTAAACTACTACAGACTTTAATAATATAATTGATTTATTCAACAAACTCAACTTGCACTATAATCATTATAAGCTACAATCATGTTATTATAGCAATAGCTAAACCTTCTGCAGTTATTCTTTAATTTGTACATAATATATAAATTAAAAAAAAACTATTGAATATTAATATATGCAAAAATATTTTAATTGTTTAATATTATCTTAAAATTAATATATATAAAAAAAAAACAGTTTAACATTAAAGATTAATATAATTATAATATTATTTTATTGTAAGAATAATATCTATAGCTTTGATTTCTTTAGAGTTTCCTTGTGCTGTCTCTTGTATTATGAAGATTTAATATTATTAATAATAGTAAATGTACGTTTCATATTATTAATCATACCTTCTATATGTCATAGATTATTTTTTGATAGTTTATTATTCAGATATTCTATAAGATATTCCAATATACTTATTTTAGATTCACAGTATGACAGAGCTCTAGATTAGTATTTTCATCATTTATATCTTTAGTAAGAAAATTATCTTTTAACATATTTTGTTGTATTGAGGGTTTTGTATTAGTATCTATACAGATATTAGATAATGAGTCTTGTATTCTATTATCATTACTATTCTAAATTAAAAATGGATAATCTGTATATTATTTAAAATTAGAATATACTAGACAGACATCCTCAGAATCATATGTTTTTATATGTTTAATTGTATTATAAATTAAATATTTACAGATCAGAAAATAGCTATTAAGAAATAATAAGCAGCTATATACTCAATTTGGTAAATCAATTTTGTAATTTTCTTTAGCACTATTAGCAATTGGTTTTGATACAAGCTGCTTCTAATCTTTTTTAAAATCATTAAACTATGATAGAATTACATGACCAAGATGTATTTGCTGAAGATGATTTACTTAATCAGAAATTACAAGGGAGCAAATAATCTACACAAAATAGTCTAGTCTTAGTCAGTTAAAATAATAGAGGTAACAATATTTAAATACTTTCTAGTATAACTCTATTAGTATATTAATTCTTTCTAATAGAATTATTAGCTATGTTGAACATGCCTAGAGGCATCACTGTTTTACTTTATATCAGGAGAATCACAGATATATCTATAATAAAGAAAGTTAGTTAGTAAAACAAAAATCATAAATTTCATATACTGCATTTTTTTGAATATCTTCAGAAGTTAAGAACTGGCTATCTGCATTAGTGAGAA